AAAAAAAAAAAAAAAAGGCTTTCTAACACAAAGTTACAAAATGTAAAACTGATTGATTCTCCTTGTTGAGACTATACCTTTTGATATTCTTTTATGTGTTTAATAATGCACCTGTCCATTGTAATGAAGTACTGTGACTCAACTTATTCAGGGATAACAGCACAATAAAATATAAGGTTAAGCATGGGCACAAGGAGACAGACGTTTTCCTAAAATATGACTTCTATTTCCATTGTCACTAATAGCAAAGATTATTAACGGTTCCCTTAGTATCAGTTCTGCTCTTCTTGCTTTTAGTACTAGAACATCTTCATTTTAGATATAGAGATTCCAGCCTCCCTTACAATAATGACAGCCATAAGTATGTACAATTCTTGTCCAATGCTATATGATACAATGTGATAAATATAAATTCCAGGTCATGTTCTTTAGAAAGAAAACTGTCTTCTCCACTTTTTCTCATTCCTATTTCCACATTCACACGGAGACTACCCTAGAAGGTAATAAAACCACCCTTTGATGACCTAATACAACATAAGTCCTCAGCCTATCTTCTGAATGGGTATGTGATAGGAGAAATAAAAAATACTACTCTGTCTTAAAGGAGTATAACAAAGGGGCTCTGAAGACAGGACTCCTAAATTCAAAGCCTGGCTCCTTAACTTACTGTCTATTTGATTTTGACCAAGTCAAATTATATTATTTGTTACTTTTCTCAACTATAAAATGAAGATGCCTACAATGCCTACTCATACAGCTCTTTTGAGTATTAAAGGAAAAAATATATATATGTATATGTACACATACACATATATAGATACTGCTACACATTTATATATACATATTGCTATACAAAGAGATTACAAAAATGATTATGATTATTTGAGTGACTACTGAGTCTGTAACAGTAACTCAGTTTGTTCAAATACAGATATTAACTAATGCCCACAGATTTTGTATACATCATATTCTTTCAACTGTTAAATACTTATCTTTTCCCTGTCTAATTGAACTAAAGTTTTCAAAATAGTATTAAATAAGAATGGCCAAAAGAGCAACTTCTAACATTCCATTACTGTTCCTGATATTGGCTATTGAATTAAATAATGTTCAGATTGTTGTTCAAAAATATTTCTGGTTTCTTAACAAATTTTATCTCAAATAATATGGTGTTTATGAAAATCTCTTCGTGGAGTTTACTGAAATAATCACAATCATTTTGTTTTCTTCTTTTGACCATTTTTTTTACTAAAGTCATAGTATTACAGTGAATTTAATAGGTATCCTATATTTAAAAAAAACTGCTCAATTTAATTTGCTAACGTTTTAGGGCTTTTATAAATACTTTGATACATAATATTCATCTGTAAGTTGTTTCAGGTTTTTCTTAACCAAGTTTTGCTTTAGATACAATTCCAGCTTCTAAACTTTCTCCTTTTCTCTGTGCTCTGTTAAATAAAAGTCAATAGCACTTGTATTTTTCACTGAAGAAACCTTATCTCATATTCAATTTCAGTTTTTCTTTTACTATTTAAGCCAAATTTAACTACTTGTATTTCACTGAAATACTGTCCATTTCAATCATATAGTCAAATGCAGTAGCAGGTACTAGCTAGCAGGTACTACTACATTCACTTTTAGATTGACTTCATCTCCTTTAATCTGCCAAGGACAAAGAAGACACTGTATTTCTATCCATTTTTCCTTGTCATTTCAGTGATTGCTACTTGTCTTTACTCTATTACTAGATACATGTATTACTTAGATTGGGTAAAATAACCTTTGCTGACTGTTTTACACATTTTTTTTCAATCTGTACCTATATTCTGAATAATTAATGTCCTCCTCATCTCATTTGATCCAGAGGAGACCACACATACACTTTCAAGCTTTCCATTCTGTTGTTTTAGGCGTCTAGGAAAAAAGTATCAGCTAGATGGATTTTGCTTTCTTCAATCCAATATGAATCCCTGTCTTTTAACAGGATTGTTTTGTCGATTTAGATTTATTATCGAAGCCAATTTGCTTGGGTTTTGCTTTGTATTTAATGTTGTTCATCTCTGTAATTTTCTTGAGTTTATATAGCAGTGATGGACTCATTTTCTAATTTTATATAGAGCATCAGTGCTCACAGTCTGTGAGCCAATCATGTATTCCTAGAGTTGGAGGGACCCCATACTAAGTATTTCAGTTCTAGATGCCATTTTTACACTTGAAAACATGTATTTCTATAGTTACCATTTTATAATATAAAAACAGTGTTTTAGAAAAGTTTGTGTAAAATACTCATTTAATGATTATTAATAATTGTATTATCTCTTTATGAATGTTTAGTTGATATGGAGCATAATAAAAGTTACAGTTTGTAATATTTAATACAATAATTCTGTGTCTTTTGCATTCTTGGCCTTATCACTTGACTAGCTAGTCTAATATTTCGCATTATCACTTCAGGAAGGGTACCATGTAATATACTTCTGTACCCCTTACACATCTAAGAATATGTCACTTTCACATATGGAAAATAATAAAGGTACTGAAATCCTAAGTCTGTTTTATTACCCTTAGTCATTCAAGAGAATAAGTTTTTATGCTAGATTTATCCACTAAACAAATATTTACTGCTGACTTGGTATGACTCAGGCAAGTTAACAGATGATAAAGACTAGTGGCTCACACCTGAATTCCTAGCTACTCAGGAAGCTGAGATCTGAGGATCGAGGAAGCCAGCCCAGGCAGGAAAGTCCATAACTGTCCCATTCCAGTAACTATTACAAAAAATTCCAGGCAACAGTGGCTCACACTTATAATCCTAGCTACTTCGGAGGCTGAAATCTGAGGATTGCAATTCAAAGCCAGCAGGACAGAAAATCTATGAGACTTTTTATCTCCAAAATACTATTATAAAAAGCCCAAAATAGAGGTGTGACTCAGGTGGTAGAGCACTAGCCTTGGCAAGAATAGCTCAGGGACACTGCTCCAGGCCCTGTAGAACAGGCAGCAGAACAAACAAAAAAATTCCTAACATTATGACATGTAAATGCTGTTTTTTTATTTTTTTGTTTTTTGTCAGTTGTGAGGCCTGAACTCTGGGACTGGGTGCTGTCCTTCAGCTCTTCAGGACAAGGCTACTGCTCTTATCACTTGAGCCACAGTGCCACTTCCAGCTTTTTTTGTTTGTTTATGCAGTGATGAAGAATTGAACCCAGGACTTCATGCTTCCAAGGCAAGCACTCTAGCACTGAGCCACCTTCCCAGCCCTTAAATGCTGATTTTATAGCATACCTACAGTACTATATCTCCACCCTCTTCCCCACACACAAAAAAAAGCAACCTATCTCTATCTCTAAGCTTACATTTTCTCCAGGCAAGTTATATTCAAGTTTACGTTTTATATATAAATATTTTAATAACTATAATTCTTTAGCAGAAGAAAATAAAGTTCACTAAAAAACTACAATGTAAACCCAAATATAATTACCTAGTTATAATGTTACTATCTTCTACTGTGGTAATTTAAATGAATTATCAAATGAAATCACAATTCATATTTACACATATGTAACACATCCCAAACAATTTTTCTTTGGGGGGGGGGAAACACAGACTTTTTTTATTTTATTATTATTATTATTGTGGAAATACCATACAGAGGGGTTACAATTACATGGGCAAGATAGTGAGTATATTTCTTACCCAGCATTGTTGCTTCCTCCTTTGTTTCCTCATACCATCCCTTTCCCTCTCCACTCCCCCACCCCCCCAAGCAATTTTTCTTAACCACTAAACTTCAATACCTTCTATTAAGAGAAATGTTTACTAAATAAGATGTTCATTAAGGCCTTTTACTGAGTAATTAGGACAGAAGTAATACGTCAACAGAATCAAAAATTCCCAAGAAGCAATGAAAGGTAAGAAGTAAACCTGTGGTCCTACCTTCAGGAGGTAAGTTGTAGAGCTGGGCCACAGGTCCAGTCACAGGAACAACAGGCAACTGGAAATTGAAAGAACTTTTAATCGTCGGGAGTGGCAGTCGATTTTTGGGGAAGCATTTCCTCATTATCAGACTGGAGGTATTGACAAGAGGATCAAGAGTCCTAACTGCCAAACATTCCTGTTTAAAAAAAAAAAAGATAATGGACCTTTGGTGAATAGCTGACTAAAGGTTTATATTCAGAAAGAACTACAGTAATAATTTTCGAGAGAAAAGTATCACAGTAGTAACACAGTAGTAAAACAAAAGATAATTATAAAAGAATTTCCTGTTTAGAAGTTTGTATTAGTAAATAAGAACCTCACAGAGAAAATTCAACACGACTTAAGTTCCTAAATTCCTTCAGTATTTTTCCTATGCAGAAACCAGCACCTTCTTAGATACTGAAAATAAACAAATCAGTAAATATATTATTTATGAAACATTTAGCAATTCTAGGGCATAACATTAAAAAACAATATTTAAGGAAAGTGGAAAGATTAAAAATTTAAGGAAAGTAAGAGAAATAAAAAGGAAGAGAAATAAAAAGGAAGAAACATTTGACTGAGCCTTACTGAGAACTGTCACTTGAGGAATGGCACCTTACACAGACTGGCCAATAAAAGTCTACCATGCCCACTTGAAGTCTTAGGGTTTGATTTGCTGTCCTAATGTCTAATTTTGGAGGGAAAAAAACAAAAAGTAAAGCAGAGGGGATTTGAAATTATGTCCTTTAACAATACTGTTTATGACTAGCACTTTGATACACATTTCACATCTGACCTGTACAATTAAAGCTCTAACATGTATCAAATACCCATTACTGTCTGTGTTAGGAATAGTAAAAACAGGTGAGAAATTAAGGCTTAGAAATATTAAGACAAAGGTGGGCACCGGTGGCTCATGCCTGTAATCCTAGCTACTCAGGAGGCTGAGATCTGAGGATCACGGTTCAAAGCCAGCCCAGGCAGGAAAGTCCACGAGACTCTTATCTCCAATAAACCACTAGAAAACAGGAAGTGGCACTGTGGCTCAAGTGGAAGAGCACTTGCCTTGAGCTAAAGAGCTGAGGGACAGCACCCAAGCCCAGAGTTCAAGCCCCACAGCCGATTAAAAAAAAAAGAAAAAGAAAGAAATATTAAGACAACTAAAGCTCTAACATACCAAATATCCATTACTATCTTTATTAGGAATAGTGAAAACAGGTACATATGATTGCTCTACAAAATACTAAAGATAAACATAAAGCAAGTTTTCAAATATCTTAACTGTCATGTACAAAGATGCTCATTAGATATAAAATCAAAGGGCACAACAAAGGTAACTGATTAGTATTTGCAAAATCCAGGTATCTTTCTAATAAATAAAAATAGCCTTCTAAAAATAAAATGTGAGGATTACATTGCAACATTTCTACCCAACAAAAAAGCTGGGCACATGCTGGGCACTGGTGGCTCACGCCTGTAATCCTAGCTACTCAGGAGGCTGAGATCTGAGGATCATGGTTCAAAGCCAGACCGGGCAGGAAAGTCCGTGAGACTCTTATCTCCAATAAACCACTATAAAACTGGAAGTGGTGCTGTGGCTCAAGCGGTAGAGCGCTCACCTTGAGCTGAAGAGCTGAGGGACAGCGCCCAAGCCCAGAGTTCAAGCCCTACAACCGACCAAAAAAAAAAAAGCTGGGCACAGTGGTTCAGCTGTCATCCAAATTCTGCAGAAAGCCTAAGTAGGAAGACCATTGTCCAAGCCTGCCCAAGCAAAAACCACATTCCCTACCTGAAAAATAACTGAAAGCAAAAATGACTTGTTCTAACACTTGGGGACATGGCTCAAGTGGTAGAACACCTACCTAGCTGGGAAAAGGCCCTGAATTCAAACTCCAGTACAGTAAAAGAAAACAACGTATATGTACATGAGTACTTTCTCATTAGTTCAGTTTTCTTAAAAATAAAATCATAAAGAAGAATAAAAATAAAGTAACTTACTTGTGAAGTATTATACAGAATTTTCATTCCATTGGCATCAATAAATGCTTTCCTTCCCAACTTGATGTTCGTAATACTTTTTAAACTCTGTAAAATCCCTTTCCGAACAAGCATGTTTCTATGCCGATTATCATGGCGATGCCAATCTACATAGATTGTTAAAAGCACTTGGACATATCCTCTCTCTACAGCTCTTCTGGCATTTGTTTCTTTAATAAAAGAAAAATTGAGAACAAATATTTTTAAATTCAAGAAAAAGAATATATCAATATTAACCTCAATATTGTGATGAATTAAACCTTTGTCCACAAGTTTTCCAACAAAAAGAGCTTTCAGATAATTTCTTGCCTATATATTTTTTCATAGTTTATAAATATTAAACTCTTACTAACTAGGTGCAATAGTACACAGCTGTAATCTCACTACTCAAAAGGCTGGGAAAAATATCAAGCATTTGAGACAAACAGGAGCTACATAGTGAGATCATATCTCAAAAATTTAATCTCTTTACTACAATGAAGGCTACACTTTTTCTAAATGGTAATTCTAATAAAAGCTTCATATATTTTAAAACTTCTAAAAAAAACTACTGTGACCATTTACCAAATAAAATTTATATGCCTCTGACACACTACCTGGAAATACAACTTTACTAAAAGACTTTCTTACTTTGTTAACTTGTATTACAATCTTTATGTTCATACTAAAATGAATCCCACAGAAATGGATTAGAAACTTTAGTGAAGTTCATTGTTCTAACTATTCCCAAATTATATAATTATCCACTCCACAGCAACATTAAGTTAAAACTCTAACATTTTAGTAAACAAGACTAGAAAATAGTGCTTTCTAGACAATAAAATGTTAATTTAATGGAAACTAAAGATTTTACAAATGGTTGACTTTATAATACAACTGCACTCACAAATTTAACTTTATTATTTTGAACGTGTTATTATTTAAGATTAAACAAAAAATACATTTTGCTAAGATAGCAGTTAAAGAAATAGTATGGTAGCAACACCTTGCTATCTAGCATCACTTTATGGTGTCTATTATAACAAGTGTAAGATGTATTGGTGGAATACCAACCCATTCAGGTTGTTTAGAAATTCTACCTCTTTTTAATCTCAAATGAAGCTAGTTCATGTCATAAACACTAAGATGATACTAATTTTAGTTGTCTGGATTATTAAAGTTCCCTAATGTAACCTAAAACATAATACTAAGGTATGATCTTACTAATTTTCTTTGAGAACTATATTCTGACATTATAGAGGTAGAAGAAACTACTCAGGGGGAAAAGAAGCTTCCTTATGTGATAGCTTGAAAACATGTATTGCATATAAAAACAGCTAGTTTGATTTTTTTTTGGGGGGGGGTCCGGTTGTGGGGCCTGAACTCTGGGCCTGGGCGCTGTCCCTCAACTCTTCAGCTCAAGGCTAGCACTCTACCACTTGAGCCACAGCTCCACTTCCGGCCTTTTTTTTTTTTGCTTATGTGGTGCAGAGGAATCGAACGCAGGGCCTCAGGCATGCAAGGCAAGCTCTCTACCACTAAGCCACCTTCCCAGCCCCCAAAATAGCTAGTTTTCTAGGGCAGTGACTATTTACACAATCAATGCAATTGTTTTGACTAAGAAAAATGTGGTATTTTAAATTAATATATACTTCATTTGCACCACTTGAAATATGTAAGCCTTTTGTTGTTTAGCCATGAATATGATTTTGTTACAAGTCATTCTGATCATTGTAACTACTACAAATTTTTCTGTTTCTGCCAGAACACTCCATAGCCTAGATGGTATTTATGATAAGTATTGAAAGTCTTTAAGAAAGACCACATAAGAAACTTGACTGTAATTCAAACACAGATGCTGAGGTGACCCTTAGAGGAATGAATATAACTGCCTACTATCTCACTAAGTACAACCAAAAATAGTTTAGTAAAGAGTTATTTATTCACATGTTCAGGATACAAAACTCAATCTGGCCTCTTTTTTCCTCTCTAAATAAAAGACAATGTAAGTTTACCTTAGTCTGTAGTATCTATTATATACTCCAACAATGGCAAATGAGCTTTCCTGTCTTTATTTTCTTTAGTTTATATCTTCTCATATTTATCTTGCTAGTCAAATTTGTCTCCTTAAAATAAATGACTAATACCACCACCACCACCCCAAAAAAAAACCTTGATTTTAATGTAAATAAATGAGAGTGTGCCAATGAGAATGCTCTAAAAAGCTATGGTCTGTTTTACAAAGACATAGCATGAAAAGAATAGTGTCTTGTATTACTAAATTTTATCCTAGTTTCATGCATAATTTGAAAATAGATTAAATATGAACTAGTTTTCAGCATACCACCTTCCTTTGAAAAAGTAGAAAGAAAATACAACAAAGATTAATATTTCAAACTGACGATTCCAGAGTTTAGTGTGGTATCTTTTAAAAAATTGAAAATTTATGGGGCTGGGAAGGTGGCTCAGTGGTAGAGCACTTGCCTTGCATGCTCGAGGCCCTTGGTTCGATTCCTCAGCACCACATAAGAAAAAAGCTGGAAGTGGCACTGTGGCTCAAGTGGTAGAGCACTAGCCTTGAGCTGAAGAGCTAAGGGACAGCGCCCAGGCCCAGAGTTCAGGCCCCACGACCAGACCCCCCTCCCCAAAAAAAATAAAAAGAATTTGAAAATTTCTGGGAACAGAAATTTCTTAGTGACTCTTTTCTCAGTGATTCTGAAAAATAGTCTTTAAAATTTAAACAGCTAGGGGCTGGGAAGGTGGCTCAGTGGTAAAGCGCTTGTTTTACATGCCTGAGGCCCTGGGTTCAATTCCTCAGCACCACATAAGCAAAAAGAAAAAAGCCTGAAGTGGCACTGTGGCACAAGTGGTAGAGTGCTAGCCTTGAGCTGAAGAGCTGAGGGACAGCGCCCAGGCCCCAGGTTCAGGCCCCACGACCGACCGGACCCAAAAAAAAAAAAATTAAACAGCTATTATAATCCACTTCAAATCAAAAGTAAACAGTTTGATTAATTTAAGAATCTTTAGCTAGGATCTGGTGGCTCACACCTGTAATCCAGCTACTCTGACGGCTGAGATCTGAAGGTCTCCATTCAAAGCCAGCTCGGGCAATAAAGTCTGTGACAGTCTTATCTTCGATTAGCCACCAAAAAGCAGAAAGTGAAGCTGTGGTAGAGTGTTAGACTTGAGCAAAAAAGCTCAAGGTCAGGGCCAAAATGCTAAGCCCAGTAACAAAAGAAAAAGAATTAACCTTTATACAGTTTGAATTAGAAAATCAGAGCATATCAAATTGATCCATATGTGATTTTCATTTAATGTTTAGCAAATCACATGAAAAGAAAGCTACAGTTAACCTTATTACATATACCATATTTCAATGCAAGAATAAAATGGTTAAATGAGAACTTCAGCATTTAATACTAATATTTAAAGTGACTTTTAAACTGAATCCATTACAAAAAAGAGATATTAATCATTTTCTACTATTTAAAAATGAATTCTAGTGATTAAAAACTCAGGGCCAACTGGTCTCATAGTTTTTTGGCCAATCATCTTATTATTATATCTTTGGAACAATAGGACATATGAAAGCCACCAGCATAGATTTTTAGACTGAATATCAAGGAAATGCTAATACACCAATTGTCTATTAAAGTACAACTGACTATATTTACAGTGGATATAATGAGTCTCACAAAAAGAAAATAAATACATAAATGTAAGGTGATTATTGTCCAAAATTATCATATCTATGTTTCAATGCTTCAACTCTAAAAATGAAGTGCTTCATTTTGTAAATAAATTTATTAAAACTTAAAACTTTCACTAGCAGTCACTTCTTAATGTTATAAACCTGGATATATGGTATAAATAAAATTTCTAATTAAAGGTTCTAAGTTCAAATCATACTCTACACACTGAGGCAGTAGTCACTCAAGACATTTCCCATGGTCAAAATTACCAGTATCATGACAGATTCACTTTTTAAAAAGAGATATTTATACTTGTTTTATTCTATTATGAGGAATTCATGCCTATAGAAACAACTTAGAAATTTGTTTTCAATGTACTTAGAAATGTACTTGATAGGGCTGGGAATGTGGCTTAGTGGTAGAATGGTTGCCTATCATGCATGAAGCCTTGAGTTCAATTCCAAAGTACCATGTCAACAGAAAAAGCCAAAAATGGCACTGTGGCGCAAGTGATAGAATGCTAGCCTTAAGCAAAAGAAGCTCAGGGGCAGTGCCAGGCCCTGAGTTCAAGCCCCAGAACTCCCCCCCCCAAAAAAAGAAAAAGAAATGTACTCAATAAATACATAGCATCAGTTTCGATGTGTTTCAATTACACTAGAAGAGGAAATCAATTTTTATACTAGATTATTATAAACCAGCTTTAAAACTATATTCTAGATCTACATATCCAATTTCTTTTTTTTACATATCCAATTTCTTGAACATAGTTAACAGAATGTTCATAAAAATAGTATCTATTATTTCTAGCATTTAAAAACTTACTTGATTTTAGCAAGGCGGCAAGAGTGTCTAAAGCAACCCTGTCAACACAACAAGAAAACACAACAACAAAACTAGTAAAATTAATCTACAAGAGTAAATTCATACAATCTTGTCAGATAACTAATTATTCTATTTATTCCAAAAATTATTCTTCTTAGAGATCAATTACGTACTATGTTTTCGTATTCATCTGTCCTTTTGGCTTAAATTAAATATAAAGACTGTAATGCTAAAAGTACTCCAAGAAAGATTTAAGAAAAAGAACACTAACACTGCTGAAGCCTTTCTCAGAAGTTAGATTAAATCAATTATCTATTTGACACAGAGGGGCCATAATATTAAGAATCATAGGCCCTAACAAAACAATAAAAACAGAAACAAGTTTTAACACAGATTAATTTTGTATCTACAAAATTCTATATTTTCTTTACTTCAAAATATTTCAGTTCTACCCAACTATAATGTCGGTAACATTATAGGTGTTAACAACGATATATCATTTTGGAACGTGGACATTTGGGGACAAGAATGACCCCTAGCACACGAGGCAAACAAGAGAATAACAAGATTATTATCTCAAAAACTCTTATTGTCCCAAAGGATGAACCTAAAATTTAGAGATACATATATTTTCTTGATCATAACTTACTCAGTTAAACACAGTGAAATCAGCCACCATTAATCAGCTGTAATAATAACTATCACTGTGGAAAACCTATAATTGAAGTAGTATTTACAATGAGTTACTGAAGAAAGGGCACTTCATTACTAAACAGAATGCTACTTCATACTATTATACTTCTTAGTAAGAGTCTAACTATAATTAGTTTGAATTAAAAATGCCTGTTATCCAAGTTAATTAAGTATTTCACTCATTAACCATTTGTTGAATGCCTACTAAAAAGCCCACAGTAGCAAATTCTTCATGGATATAAAATTAGAAAACAAGCATCTCTTCTGCATATATATATACATATACATACATATGATGTAATAAAATGTACACACCTATGAAAAGACTACTTAAGAAATTAAAACCCACGAGCTTTACAACGTCGGTGGGGGGGGCGAAGGGGGGTGAGGAGAAGGATTGGGATTGGGGGAGGGGGGTGGCTGGGAAGGGATGTGAAGGGTAAACAAAGGAGGAGGCTGCAATGCTTGGTAAGAAATGTACGCATTATCCTGCCCATGTAATTGTAACTCCTCTGTACAGTATGTTCACAAATAAAATAAAATTAAATAAAAAAATGGCAACACTCAAAAAAAAAGAAATTAAAACCCAAAACAAGGCAATAAAGTAAAAGTTGCATATATCTATGAAAAATGAAAGGTAGCATGACCAGATTATTTAGAGTATAATTGAATAGAAGCATTAAGATGGATGCTGGCTAACTGTAAGACTTGGAACAATAATCCATAACAAGGAACAAAGTGTTCAATCAACAAATGCTAATAAGAGAGAGTTCTGAACAGATATACTTTGCTGGACAAAAATAAAAAACACATGAAACATTATTTTTAAAAAACCTAGACTAAAAAAAGAAAAATACTTTCCAGTAAGACCTGAAAAAGTGCTATACCCTGTTTTAGATTGTTTCTTTATGTTTTGCTTTCTAATTTAGTTCTTAAAATAATCTTGGCGTATACAATCTGCAAAAGGATGTGGCTTACTTAACAGAAATTAACTAAAACTCCAGGAGCTTCTACCACTGTGTCTTAAAGTGCAGCAGGAAAAAGAAGTAACTAAAATGTAATTAATAAGGGCAAGACACCTTGCCAAAGCAGAAACTTTTCAGAAAAAGTTATCACAAGATTAACAGAAAAGAAGCAAACTACTTTGATAGAAAAGAGCTTTTCTCACAGAGAACACACAACACAAACAACAAAGTGATCAATTTCAGCCCTCATGGAATTACCTTATATTTCAGTAGTAATACTTTAATTGAAACAGAGATTAGAGCTGGGCACTGCTGGTTCTTCCCTATAATTGTAGCTACTCAGGAGCCTGAGGATTGGTGTCCAAAGCTAGCCTGAGCAGACAAATCTGTGACCCTTTAGCTGCACTTAACCAGCAAAATACTGAAAAGTAGAGCTGGCCCAAGTACTGAAATCACAGGAATGTGCCACTGCATATTTGGACCTTTATTAACAAAGAGTGAAAGTGCCGGATGCTGGTGGCTCCTTAGTAACCCTAGCTACTCAAGAGGCTGAGATTGGAGGATCACAGTTTGAAGCCAACCAGGGGCAGAAGAGTCCAAGTGAGAGTCTTATCTCCAATTAACCACTCAAAAACCAGGAGTGGAGCTGTGGCTCAAAGAGGTGGAGTAAAAGATTGAGCATAAAGAGGCTCAGGAAGAGTACCTAGGCTCTGAGTTCAAGCCCCCTAAACCAACCAAAAATTAAAAAAAAAAAGAAAAGAAAAGGAAGAGTTAAAGAATTGAAAGTACTCAGACTTCTATTTAAGAGAAATTTTTAGCCAAGTAGTTCATATGGAAAAGTTTAAAAAAAATTAAACCAGGTACTAATGGCACAGGTCAGTAATCCGGCTATTAAGAAGGCTGATATCTGAGGATCATGATTTGAAGCAAGCCTGAACAGGAAAGTCCATGAGTCTCTTATCTCCAATTAACCACCAAAAAGCCAGAAGTGGAGCTGTAGTTCAAGTGGTAGAGCACTTAATTTTGAGCAAAAACAATTCAGGGGCAATGCTAAGGCCCTGAGCTCAAACCCCATCAACAAAAAAGCCCCATCAACAGAAAAGAATTATAGCTAATATATGTGATGACCACCCTGACCAAAGTAAGAAAATGTGAAATTGTTAGGATCAGGTCAAAACTAAACAGATAGGGTATTAATTAGACTAAGGAAGAAGGAAATTTAACTGGGATATTTAAGCCCTAAGACCTAAAAAAATAGTAAGTGCAAACTTTAGAAAGGAGAACAAAACTGTAGCTTGTCCCATATCTGAGGTATTTTGATTTAAAAGGGAAACCACTTGTTACAACGAAGTCACTAAGTCTATCAGACTTATCACAGACTTTTTAATCACAAAATGTGAGAAACATATCTAAAGTTAAATGATCCAGCATACAGTTACCTAATCCAGAATGTGGGACATTCCAAAGAGATAGCATGTAAGACTTTCAATAAATCCAACAGAACCAAAATATTGAGGGACTTTTATTGATTTAAGACTATGATTTATAACATATCAATCAAATAAAATGTTCAGAACTTATTCAGACCTGATGTGAATAATCCAACTATTAAAAATACATTTTTAAGTCAGAAAACAATGAAAAGACACTATGGAATAAATATTGTTAGGCACAAAAATAATATTGTGGCTACGTGAAATTATTAACAGTGTCAGTGAACAGGCTAAAAGATTTATAGACAAATTTAATGGTGGATATTCTGTTTTAAAATATTCACACACAAAAAAAGCTAAGTGCTAGTGGCTTACACTTGTAATCCTACCTACTCAGGAGGCTGAGATCTGAGGATCTCCATTCAAAGGCTCCATTGGCAAAGAAAGTCATGTGAGAGTCTTATCTCCAATTAACCACCCAAAATCAGAAGTGAAAGGGCACTAGCCTTGAATAAGAAAGCTCAGGGGCAGTGCCCACGCCATGAGTTCAAGCTGAAGAACCACCATTAAAAAAAAAAAATTAGATGCAAAATGTTAACTGAAAATGGCAAAATGCTGACTGTGGAAACTGGCTGACAGGTACATGAAGAATTCATTATACGGTTTTTTTGTATAAACTTTAAAACTTCCTAAATAGAATGAGTCATAATGTATGTATGTATCTTGCTTCGACTCTGACTCAAATACATTAGGTATAAAAGTGCAATTTTGAGACAACTGGAGAACACATACTGGATTTTAGACTGCAAGGAATCAATTTTGTTGGATATCATTGTACTATGGTGGCTATTTTTTTTTTTTTTTGGTTTAGGCTCTGAGGCTTGAACTCTGGGCCTGGGCATTGTCCCTTAGCTCTTTAGCTCAATGCAAGTGCTCTACCACTTGAGCCACAGTGCCACTTCCAGTTTTCTGGTGATTTATTGGAGTCTCACAGACTTTCCTGCCCAGGCTGGCTTTGAACTACTATCCTCAGATCTCAGCCTCCTGAGTAGCTACAGGTGTGAGCCACCAGTGCCAGGCTGGTGGCTATAAGAACTTAAGACTTTATAAACTTAAGTATTTACAAGAGAAATGATACTGGGCTCCAATGGCTTCCATCTGTAATTCTAGCTGGAGGCTGCTATCTAAGGACTGTGGTTTAAAGCCGGCTAGAGAAGCAAAGTTTCGAGACTCTTATCTCCAATTAACCACCAAAAAAAGCCAGAAGTGGAGCTGTGGCCCAAATAAACAAAATGCTCAGAAACAGGGACCAAGTCCTGAGGTTCAAGCCCAGGTCAAGCACAAGAAAAAGAGAGAGAGATAGAGGGACAGAGAAATAATAATATTAAGAGAAAATCATTCAGAAAAATATCTATGCTTTAAGAATACTCCAGGAAGGAAGGTAATGAGTTCAAAGACAGCCTGGGTAAAGTTAATTATCTTAAAAATAAAAATGCAAACAAAAGGGCCTAGCTCAAGTTGTATTACATTTTCCAAACAAGTATAAGGCCCTAGATTCAATCCCTAGTACCACTAAAATAAGAAAAAAGGAACAGTACTATAGAAAAAAAAAAAATAGGCAGGGCTGGGGGTTTAGCTAAGTGGAAGGGCGCCCGCCCAGCACGCGCAAGGCCCTGGGTTCAGTCCTCAGCCCTGGAAAAAAAAAAAGGCAAACTCAAGTGTGAAAGGAACATAAATAAAACAGAAGCACTGAATTGTGGTAACTGTTGAATACAATAATAATTAGTTTAAACTAATACAGTATAAACTCTATATGTTGAATATTATTTTTTCCACAAGAAAAAAAATGTTGAAGAACAATTTCTAAGGTGTGGTAGGACATACTTATTATAATCCCTGTACCCAGGAGGCTGAGTTCCAGATCTGCTTGGACAAAATAGTAACACCTTCTTTCAAAAAAAGAATGACCCGTGGGTCATTCTTGGGATTTAAAAGTTCTGTCTTGGGGGGTTTTAAAGTTATATAAATGAATAAAAACACATACATAAGTATTTCTTAAGCTATCTATACCTGTATGTATCTTGACAAAAAAAATCCACAAAAAAACATAATTTTAACAAACTAGAAATGTACAAATTTAAGATCCAGTCGGGTAATTATGAGAATGAAGGAAGCAGCTATTAAAACACTGCAAAATAGGTTTGAGAATACAGTAGGCATTCAATAAATGTTTCTCAATGAATGAAACAAATTATCTTACCTCTCCTTATATTAACAATGTTTTAAAGCCTGCATTTCTATAAACAATGTATTTGTTGAATTTCAAATTTTCTAATTTTGATACATTTTCAAATTTTGATACATTTTCAAAGATTAAACTTCTGCTTAAGGAAGTATATTACAATAAAATCATTATATAACAAACACAAGACTATAGCTATAAGTGAATTCAGTCTACTCACTGTACATAACAAGATAAAGAAAATCAAAATAATAAAGGATATACCTCACTGTACATAGCAATATAAGGAGGATGAAAATAACCAAGGATATATATATTTATCTCCACATTCAAACCATTTACTCACTTCATAAGACCTGAATTCTTCTTACTAAATGGTCCGATGATTTTAAATAACAATTCCACAACTCCACTTTTCCCTAAAGATACTGAATTCACAGCTAAAAGGGAGAAAGAGATACAAAACGATTTGAAATTTTCAATAACGATTTGTATTATTAGGGATATATCTAAAAATATATACAACAGTTTAGTAAATGCAAACTCAAATCACTGAGTGACTCTTAAGTCTACCTTAGCTAAGTATTTGAAGGAACAATTTTTTTGTTTTGTTTCTATAAAGTTTTAAGGCATTAGGTTACATATCAAAAAAAGAAAATTTAAAAAGTACTTCAGTTGCGGGCTGGGAAGGTGGCTCAGTGGTAGAGCGCTTGCCTTGCATACGTGAGGCCCTGGGTTCGATTCCTCAGCACCACATAAGCAAAAAGAAAAAAGCCAGAAGTGGCACTGTGGCTCAAGTGGTAGAGCACTAGCCTTGAGCTGAAAAGCTGAGAGACACAGGCCCAGAGTTCAGGCCCCACGACCGGACCCAAAAAAAAAAAGTACTTCAGTTGCTCATTTGCTTCATCAATGACATTATTCAACACGAGGATTAAGAGATATGAATAAACAGTCTCTATGCTCAGGAAATACAGTATAGAAGGAATGACAAAAATAACAAAACAGGCCCGGTGCCGGTGGCTCACGCCTGTAATCCTAGCTACTCAGGAGGCTGAGATCTGAGAATCGCGGTTCAAAGCCAGCCTGGGCAGGAAAGTCAGTGAAACTCTTATCTCCAATAAACCACCAGAAAACCAGAAGTGGCATTGTAGCTCAAGTGGCAGAACATTAGCCTTGAGCTGAAGAGCTGAGGGACAGCACTCAGGCCCAGAGTTCTAGCCCCACGACCAGCAACAACAAAAAAAAGAAAACAATTGGCAAACTACTTTCTAAATAGTTAAGAATGCAGGCTATTTGGGTTATACTCCTGAGGAATCCCTAATTCACAGCTAAGACTAGACATTTTGGGGGAAAATGATTCCTGGCAACGATCTTTAAATATGAGTAGAAGTTGGCTACCACAGGCATTGGAGTTAAGGAGTAAATAGTTTGAGAAATCTCTGGGGGCAAGGGTAGCATGAACAATAAACAGGTAATAACCAGGGGTATGAGCAGTTACATATTGTTAAAACATAGAGTATCAGACAAAAATTTACAAACTGACCGATGAAATGAGAAATGAAGGTAAGAAAAAGTATAAAGAGCCTTATGAGTTGTTGATTCCTTCAGGCAGTGAAATTGCCAGAAAGAATAATTGTCTGCATTATAAACAAAAAAGTTAGAATGTAGAGCACTCTGGAGAAAATGGATTTGAGAGATACTCATTAATGAGTATGGTCTAGATTAGATGCAATAAAGACTTTATGCCACTGTAAATGTGGAAGAAGAGGAATTAATGATGGTATTCACACAGAATATGCAAATGATTACTGAGAAAATTATGCCCAACACTGTCAATTCGGGACACTATTTGCTAGCCTTCTACAAGTTAACTCAATAAAATGCTACTACATAAAGATCCAGTGGTATAAAGCTACTTTTATTCTCTTAATATTCCATAACTGAAGTGATCTGCTTTGTTTTTCCCTCTGAACACACCTTCAGTCAAATTCCATACACATACATCTAGCACTGTGCGGTTACAAGAATATATATTCTATATAACACTGCAGTAACATATATTCTATACTTACCACCTCATTTCATCATCACAGAATAAAAACATGAACACCTCATGGGTCTGAGACTTAATATGGTTAAGTGAAAGTATGTTTGACAAGACATTATACCTGAGACCATCTCTGTGTTTCCTCTTCTGTGTTAATTTTTTGTTATTTTGTCTGCTACTTCCCATTTATTGCTAAAAATATAATCAGTCTCAGCATACAACGCTACTGAACGACTTCCTTCTCCAATTTTATTTATGCAAATGAAAAAGGACTTTCCAGGGGCCAATACCCTCATATTCTTTCACTTCACCACTCTTCCATAGGCTGCTTACTGGGCTGGGAAGGTGGCTCAGAGGTAAAGTACTTGCCTTGCATGCATGAGGCCCTGGGTTCGATTCCTCAGCACCACATAAGTAAAAAGAAAAAATCCAGAAGTGGTGTTGTGGCTCAATTGGTAGAGCGCTAGCCTTGACCTGAAGAGCTGAGGGACAGTGCCCAGGCCCAGAGTTCAGGCCCCACAACTGGACCCAAAAAAAAAGAAGAAGCCATAGGCTGCTTACTTGCCCCCTTACTTCAGTCATCTAGAAATTCAGGAAATTAGGGAGACTTCTTAAAAGTTTGTCAACTCAGCTTCTTACTGTACCACATCACTTTCATTGCCTCAGAGCTAAGAGTTACAGGAGTCATGTTAAAGTTTTTTGTATGTTTGTTTTGTTTTTTTGTCAGTCATGGGGGCTGAACTCTGGGCCTAGGTGCTGTCCCTCAGCTCTTCAGCTCAAGGTTAGCACCCTACCACTTAAGACACAGTGCCACTTCTGTCTTTTTTCTGCTTATGTGGTGCTGAGGAATCGAACCCAGGGCCTCAGGCATGCGAGGTAAGCACTCTACCACGGAGCCAAGTTCCCAGCCCATATTAAAGTTTTCCTTTTCATAAATCCCCTAAGTTTATTTATAGTAAGGTACTTGAATATTTTCATTTTGTGAAACTTCACAACACTGAGTTAAAGGAAAGCCATGCTGAATACTCACAGTTGGCAGAATATACTCGTAGAAGCTGAAGACATGGAAGAACCAAGCGGAAGTTAGGCAAATGCTGTTTAACTAAACTCAGCGTTATATTCAGGGCCCCAGTAATTCTAGCTTTCACTCCAAATTTTTTATCTGTTAAAGAGTAAAGAAAAAACTGATTCATATGAAACTTTTAAGTAAAATGAAGTTATAAGGTGATGAAATTTTTAATATATTATTAATTCATATTATTAAACAATGAGTTAACCTCATTCCAAACTACAGACATAGCCAGGCACTGGTAACTCATTATGTAACTCCAATTAACTTAAAAAAAAAAAAAAAGGCAGAAATCAAGGTTTGGGTCAAGTAGAGACTTTGACTTGAGTAATTAAATCTAAGAAATAACTCAATGAGTTCAGGTCCCAGTTCTGGGGGAAAAAAACTATAATAATTCCTTTTATGGTGTTAAATACTCATACGTTTAAGTCACAGATTCCAAGAAATTGTTACAGGTAAACGGGGAAAAAATGGGAAGCTGGGGGTAACATGAAAGGTAGCAGTGATATACTACATAAATTACCAGGCATACTATGACTTATTTTGACACTGTATTTGACATTTATTTGATAGCATTTATCACATGTTTTGTATGAGCTGTTTATTTCTTCATGAGTTTATATTCTTTGTAAGTTTAAAAAACTGTATTTCATATTAAGTAATGAATATTAGCACTGGACATTTGAATACTTTTCTATTTCTACTTTTTGTTTTGGTTTTTGTTTTTTTTGTGCCAGCTTGAACTCAGGGTCTGGGTTATGTCACTGAGGCTTTTTATTTTTCATTGAGGCTTTTTGTTCAAAGATAGCACCCTACCACTTGAGCCACAGTTCTCCAGCTGTACAGATGACTTCAAACCTCAGTCTCCCAATTAGTGAAAATTACAGGTGGGAGCCACTGGTGCCCAGCTCAAAGAAATATAATTCTTAAAAAATAAAAAAAGGAAAAGAAGTTTTTTGTTTGTCGGTCATAGGGGCTGAATTTTGGGCCTGGGCACTGTCCCTCAGCTCTCCAGCTCAAGGAAAGCACCCTATCACTTGAGCCACAGCACCACCTCCCGATTTTTTCTGTTTATGTGGTGCTGAGGAATCGAACCCAGGGCCTCATGCATGCGAGGCAAACATTCTACCACTGAGCCAACTTCCCAGCCCAAGAAGTTATTTTTAATTGTACAAATTTATAAGGTAGCGTGATAATCTAAAACATACATCATGTGTTGATCAAATCAGAGCAGTTTAACTTCCCATCTCCTCAAATGTTTTAATTTTTTTATTAACATATAATTACAACACCTTTTATATGAAGTACAAGGTGATATTTTAATGCTGGTATAAAGAATATACAATCTAGAATAATTCTCATTTCCATATCCTTGTTACACTATGTTCAAACTAACAAGTTCTTTTTGTTGTTGTTGTTTATTGTTTAGATTATTTTGGCAGTACTGATACTGAACTCAGGTCTTCATGCTTGCTAGATTGATGTTCCACTGTCTGAATCATACCTCCAGCTGTTTTGCTATGGTTATTTTTATTTTTATTTTTTTGGTGCTGGTACTACAGCTTGAAATAAGGGCCTCACCTTCTCCCTTAGCTTTTACACTCAAGACTGTTGTTATACTATAATTGAACCATGACTCTGATCCAAGCTTTTTGCTGATAAATTGGAGATAACAGCCTCACAGATTTTCCTGCCTGGGCAAACATCAAACCAAAATCCTCAGACTCCTGAGCAAGTAGGATTATGGACATGAGCCACCAGCATCTGGCTTGTTCTGGTTATTTTTTGAAAATGTGTATTACTTTTTTGCCAGAGCCAGTGTGAGCTATGATCCAATTTGTGCTTCCTACCACAGCTAGAATGACAGCTAAAAACAGCTTTATCTGATCAGATGGAGTCTCATAAACATTTTGCAAGGACTGGCCAGGGAATGTGATCCTCCTAATCTTAGCCTCCTGAGTAGATAGGATGACAAGTATCATAACTGGAGCAGTGATCAAGTTCCTGATTTTTATTCTCAAAAAGAAATTGAAATAGCTAAATAGATAAGATAGCAAAGACTGTAGAATATTAAGATTCAAACAAAAAAACAAAAGAAGTAAATAGAACCAGCAAACAGAGATATATCATAACCAATATGCTTCAAAGGAAAACTCTCACCTCACAAGAAAAAAGTAAATAAACAGAAAATAGAAAAACATTCAGAAACTAGATGTGACAATACACTTCCATAATTTCAGTATTCTGGAGTTTTAGTAAGGAAGTTACAAATTTCACAAGAGCTGAGCTGCACAACAAGTTCTAGACTAGACTGGGCTACAAAACAAGATGCTGCTTCCGCAAAAAAAAAAAAAGATAAAATTATTGTACAGGATCCTTGAACAACCAAGAATGGAAAACTAGCTCAACAGGAAACATAATAACCAAAATTTAAAATTAAAAGGGAATTAACAAAATACATAAATGTTAATATATCAATTTCTTTAAAAGTGTAAGAACTTGACTCTAGTTAGAAAGGAAGGATTTAAAGGGATGGGAAGGGGAAACAAAGGAGGAGGCTACAATGCTTGATAAGAAATGTGCTCATTATCTTGCCCATGTAATTGTAATCCCTCTGTACAGTATTTTCACAATAAAAAAAAAAGGATTTAACTGATGAACATTGTTCCAACAATGTTTCCTTGTTCTTCATTTTTTTCCCTCAAAAACCTCAAAAGGGAGTCCTTAAATCTCAAATGCAAAAGTTGAAGGAAAATAGAGGTAATATTTTTTTTTTTTTTTTGGTCTGGTTGTGGGGACTGAACTCTGGGCCTGGGCGCTGTCCCTCAGCTCTTCAGCTCAAGGCTAGCGCTCTACCACTTCCGGCTTTTTTCTTTTTGCTTATGTGGTGCTG